GAGTCAGAGCTGCACTGGCTACAGTTATACTTACTGCCCCTCAGCTGCATGTTGTGTAATGGTCTGCAATTATTCTTGGTGACACATGAGGCTCTAATTGTACTGTTTACAACCTGTTCTTCCTGTTCGTCCTACTGTTGTGGTGTTCCAAACATGTCAACCAGAGAGATTCCACAAGAAAGTGATAAAGTAGATCCCTGTAATTCATCTTATATAAAAGTCAACACAAAGTGGGTGAAAGACCTAGAATCAGACCAGAAACTTTGTAACTGCTAGAAGAAGACATAGGATCCACTCTCCAACATAGAGTTGCAGGCACTGAATTCCTCAATGGGACTCCTAAAATTTAGAAAATAAAAGATAACAAATAGAAAGGCATCAAATTAAAAGAGATCTGCACAGAAATGGAAGCAAGTATGTGAAGATAGACAATGATAAATGTGAGAAAATCTTTGCCAGCTACCCTTCTGACAGAATGTAGAAAGAACTAAAAAAAAATTTATCAACAAAAACCCAAATACTCTAATCTATAAATGGGAAAATAAACTCAACAGATATTAACCAAAAGATTACATACAGTGGGCCAGCAAAAAATAGGAACTAATGTTCAATATTCTTAGGAATCAGGGAAATGTAAATCAAAACCACAATTGGATTTCATCTTGCTCTTGTTGGAATGTCAAGTATGAGGAATGATGATAAATGTAGTTGAAGGCATGGGAGAAAGAAGCATGTGTGCACTGTTGGTGGAAATATAGTTAGTACAACCACTATGGATATAGAAATGGAGATTTTTCAAAAGGTTAAGAATGGAGCAACTACGTGACCCAGGTTTATCACACCTTGATATTCATTCAAGAGAATGCAGTCAGCATACTGTATAGCAATTCATGCACACCCATGTCTATACCGTTGAGATTCACAATTACCAAGTTAAGAGAATAAACCTGACAACTGTCAGCTGAATGGATAAAAATGTGGTATATATACACAAAATATGTTTATTCAGCCAGATCCACCCACACCGGCCTCTGCAGGGCCCGGGCGCACAGTGGGCCAAGTCCACCCCTTTTCTGGTGGGGCAGACACTCGCCAGAGCCAAGCCTCTGGTGCAGGACCACCCTTTCTGACCAGTGGACTACTGTGGGGGCCAAGATTCAGCCCAGACTGCTCATACCACTCATGCGGGATCCAGGATCTCAGTAGGCCCAGTTCACCCCTCTCCGGGCAGGGCAGACACCACCAGAGCCTAGCCTTTGGTGCAGGGCCACCCCTTCTGACAGCAGACTACTGAAGGAGGTCAAGCCCAGTGGCCCAGATCCCCCCACAGTGGCCTCTGTGGGGCCCAGGCACAGAGCATTCCTGGTAATGTCTCAGATCCGCACTGCAAGAAAGGAAGACACATAAATAACATGGAAAAACAAGGGAGGAAAGTGCCCCAAACAAACCAGGACACTATAATAAAGAACCCATGGGCAGTGGAGATGATGAGATGTCAGATAAGGAGTTCAGGAGGCTCATAATTAAAATGATCCGTGAATTAAAGAATGACCTAAATGAGCAAATACAGGCAAAAATTGATCACTCCAACAATGAGATAAGAGAGCAAATACAGGTAGCAAAAGATTACTTCATGAGAGGGATAGAGACCATGAAAAAAAAACAGTCATAAATCCTTGAAATGAATGATGCAATAAATCAAATAAAAAAC